TCAGTAAAAGGAAGTATTTTTGAATGAAATAAAACAACTATGTTTTAGGTAATATGATTTTGAAACAATTCATGGGACACGTGTTCTGAGGGGTCTCTTGTTACTGGGGACTGGTGGAATGAGGCCCATTTCTTCAGATTCATGTGGTTGGTTATACAGGACCCCCACCAGATGGCAGCATGCACTAAAAGTGAAAAACCAGCTTCCCACTAAACCCCAAAGAAAATATAGGTGGGCACTACATATCCCATGGGTGGCAAGAGGGTTAAGAAAATGCCACACTATTTTTCCAGAGTGGCCATATTATTTTCAACTATACTTAAAGAAGCTCGAATGCAGCTTTTCTTCCTCCTACCCCCACCCCCCCACCCCACACACACACACACATACACCTCAGTGCCATGGCCGTCTCCCCTAGCCATCATCAAGGTTATTTACTGGGACCTCATTAGCCATGATGAAAGGTTCTCTGGAATTTATTCACAAATCCTGGAGATGGAGGATGAGCTGTGCCTAGAAGTGGAGGAAAGATGGTCACTAGGCCAAATGGTAACATTGATGACTGTGTTCCTTGGTGGAATGCCTCAGCTAAAGGTCCCAATGGAGGCACCAAAAGCCAGCAATCATTAGTGTCAACATTATCATGAACCATCACTTGCAGAGAACCAACTTCATAAAAGAAGTCTACAGAAGCACACCAAAGATTGCATGAAATCAGTCAAAAGCAAACTTAGATAACAGAGACCAGGAAGAATAAAATCTTTTATGATAGTGGCTACAAAACAAATCAAGCACATATTTGCCAATTCAAAAACAAAGAGTTCTTTATTAATAAAAAAATGAATACAGACAGAATGGTTGTTCTGCTGCACTACTGTGAGGATGGTGTGACCCCATATATGATTTTCTTTAAGGATAGTATGGGATCCTGGCCCACCAAGCCCTGAGGACAATATTCCTGCTCAGAGCAGCCAACGCAAAAAAAGGACCATAGGGTCGGCCCCACCATGAGATGAGACACGACCTCCCTCACTAACTCATAGCGCTATAGGGGACAACACTGGAGACACAGTGCAGGAATTGTGCCTGATCTGACCCCACTATACCGGAGCAAAACACTAAGGGTGTGCAACAGAGCAGCAAGGGGAGCAAAGCAAGGAAGTCCCCGGGAAACATCAAAAATAGACTTTGGGGCCAGGGTGTGGCACCCTATCAGACTAGACCAGAAAACACTCTTAAAGGTCAACAAACAAACTTTTGTTTTTGTTTTTTGGTGATTGGCATCTTTTTAATATATTTCAGCACTTACAGTTTTTCGATAAAGGTAATTTAAGACATGAAAGTAAAATTGTGCGGTCTCTACTTCCCTGAAGCCTATGCTTGTGACAAGTTTTGGGCATACATTTGTCTCATCCTTCAGCAGCAGTTAGATAATAAAAACAAAAACCAAACTCACGGCCATCAAGTCAATTCTGACTCCTGGTGACCCCATAGGACAGGATAGACCTGACCCTGTGGCTTTCCCAGACTAACACTTTTCTCCCAGGTGACAGCTGATGGTTTGGAACTGCTGACCTTTACTGTTAACAGCCTAATACATAATCCACTGTGCCACCTGGGCTCCCAAACAAACTATTTACAGGCTTTCCTTTTTTGTTGTTGTTGTTGTTATTGTTTTTTTTGGTTTTATTTTGTATTCTTTTGCTCTGCCTTGTTTTTGTGCTTACTATTGTCTCTGTAGGTCTATCTAGATAAAATAGGGGGGAGGACATCGGAGAGGGGGAGGCGGGGGAGAGGTAGGGATGTGCCAACCAACCCAGGGACAGGGAACAAGTGATCTAAAATCAATGGCAAAGAGGACATAGGATGCCTGGTGGGGCTTGATCAAGGGCAATGTAGTTGAGAGGAATTACTGGAACCCGAATGAAGGCCAAACATGATAGTGGGACAAGAGGTAATAGAGGAAAGAACTAGGAGGCAAAGGACATTTAGAGAGGTCTAAAGGCAGACATGTACATATGTAAATATATATATAACGATAGGGAAATAGATCCATGTACATCCATGTACATAGCAGACAGACCCTTGGTCTCTACTCAAGTAATCCCTCAATGCAAGAACACTTTCTTCTAATAACCCGGCATTCTGTGATGCTCACCTTTCCAATGCAATTACTTAAGACAAAATGGGTGCATAAGCAGATGTGGTAAAGAAAGCTGATGGTGCCCGGCTATCAAAAGATATAGAGTCTAGGGTCTTAAAGGTTTGAAGATAAACAAGCAGCCATCTAGCTGAGAAGCAACAAAGTCCACATGGAAAAAGCACACAAGTCTGTGTGATCATGAGGTGTCAATGGGATCAAGTATCAAGCAGCAAAGATCCAGAACAAAAAATCATATCAATGTGAATTAGGGGGAGGGTGGAGTGGAGACCCAAAGCCCATCTGTAGACAATTGGACATCCCCTCACAGAAAGGTCACAAGGAAGAGACAAGCCAGTCAGGGTGCAGTATAGCACCACTGAAACATACAATTTCCTCTAGTTCTTTAATGCTTCCCGCCCCCACCCCCCACCCCACTATCATGACCCCAATTCTACCTTACAAATCCCGTAGACCAGAGCATGTACACTGGTACAGATAGAGCTCACAACACAGGTAATCCAGGACAGATAAACCCAACAGGACCAATAATGAGAGAAGTGATACCAGGAGGGGAAGGGGAAGGTGGGAGGGAGAAAGGGAGAACCAATCACAATGGTCTATATATAACCCACTACCAGGGGGATGGACAACAGAAAAGTGGGTGAAGGGAGACAGCGATCAGTGTTTAAGATAAGAAAAAAAAATTGTAAATTATCAAGGGTTAATGAAGAAAGGAGGGTGGGGAAGGGGGAAAATGAGCTGATACTAAGAGCTCAAGTAAAAAGAAAATGCTTTGAAAAGATGGTGGCAACATATGTACAAATGTACTTGACACAATGGATGTATATATGGACTGTGATAAGAACTGTAAGAACCCCCAATAAAATGATTTTTTTTAAAAAGGATGGTATGGGAGTTAAGATACTATGTCAACTGGACACTCCTGGCTAGGCACAGAGGTCAACATGTGAATCCTTGGAAGTGTGGCCTTTTGTATAAGAGCAAGAGGGAACAGAGACAATTCCTCTCTGCCACTTGGCCTTCCTCCTTGCGAGGGCTTCACTGGGACTCTGTGTCTGCCACCAGAGGTGGCCCCATGCATACCCACCAGCCTGTGATCCCTTTATTATTCCCACTTCCCGTTTCTGGGTCATAAGCCTACAGCTACGGGAGTCTGAAAAGGGCCCTGGCTAACATCAGACTTACGGACTTGAACTGAACTGAGCTGAGCTGTGTTCGTGATACAAGATCACTCCTCGATGTATACATGGTTCTTTCTTATACATAGTAAGTATCACTGGTTTTGTTTCTCTAGACAACTCAGGCTAAAACAAATGC